TCCTGTGACGTGTGTGTAAGCCAGAAACAGGCTGCTTCTGGGTAGAGCAATTACTCTCTTGACATCTTATCCTCCTGCCCGGCTGCCTGACAGGCCTTTCTATTTTCTCAGCTCTTTCAGGCATCTCCCGAGAAACAGAGCAGTTGTTGCAATAATAACAATTAATACTTTGCACGCAGGCCGGGCTGGCGGCGCGGTCTCCACGCAGCACTGGACTCCGAGTCTGCCAGGAGGAAGAGAGAAGGAAGAAGCTGCTGCTGGACGATGGAGGGGGGAACCATCCCCAGATCCCCCCAGATCCAAAGGATGAGGCTGCTCGGCTTTTGCCCCCTTGCACGGCTGCTTTCTGCACCGGGCGCGGGTGGTTACAGGGGTTTCATCTCTGTCCCGAAGTGCTGCCGGTCTCAGCAGACAGATGCACGGACAGACGGATGCAAGGACTCCCAACAACACCGGGGCAGCATCTCTCATCCCATTCCCGCTGTTGAGCATCACGTGCGCCTGCATTTGCGATGGGGTGAGGAGCACCTTGGTGCCACGCTGCCGGCCATCATGCTATACATAGGCGAGGGGCACGTATATATGGTACACACAGTGCTTTATCTGTATGTTCCTGCTCAATCGCCGCATCCTGCTGGGAACAAGACAGCGGCTCAGACCCGAGACGCTCACCCCATCCCATGGGAAACTCTCCTTTTCCAGGCTGCGAGCTCCCTGCCCTGACAGTCGCTGCACACCGGTTGATTTTTTTTTTTTTTTTTTAAATTCCCTTTTTGGTCACTTGGGCAGAGGCAGCCGGACTCCTATTGATTTATTCAGTCAGTCAAGAATAAATCAAACAACCTTGCTTTCTCCCGCTGCTTTTCCCCCTTAGCTGGAACGTGCGCTCCTTGCCAGATCCCTAAACATAGATAAGCGGCTGGGAGGATATTCGGGGGAAGTATCGTATATTCTTGCTCTATTCTTATCCTATTCTCTAGGCAGCCAATTTTGGCCACTGTTTGAGATAAAACCCTGGGCTACAGAGATATTTAGTGGTCTGCTCTTCTGATCCACTACAGCTCCTCTTATCATCTTACCCAGGGGATTAACCCCTGCTAACTCGCCCCCAAAACCAACCCAGACCCCACCTAAAAATAACAGCGTGCTGTTTTCCCCCTCCTGCATCCCCCAAATCACTTGTTCAGAAGAAGGCGGGGAGGAAGAGGGAGAAGATGCGATGGGTTTTTCAACAGTTTGGTGCCTCCCACTGAAATCCCTCCGTCTCCCATTCGGGGCTCGGGTTGTTTTAGAGGAGCTTTTTGCACATTAGTCATCCCTTCTCCCGAGTTGCATAACGCCACTGCTAAAAATTGCATCGTACCGGCTCCATGTCAGCTCTCATACACAACCCTCGGTCCTCTGATGGGGATGAGATTTTTTTTAGGGGGGTCCACCAAGGGTTTTTCACCCTGGGAAACCAACTCCGGTGTATGATGAGCTGCTTTGGGAGCCTGGGGGGGGGGAAAGGGGAGGATGGGATCTCTCGGGATCTGTGGCTGTGTCTGCTCCGGGGTTAATCGTCTGCTTTCAAAAGACTCAAACCCCAAAGTTTGAGTCTCTTGATCTGCTGCTTCTGCAAGAGACGGGGCAGCAGAGCTGGTTTTTCATGCCTGGCTCGTCCCCAAAGTCAGCGCGTGACCTTGGTGAGATCATTTATGATTCAGAGACCACTGAAACCATGGAGGGTGACCTTCCCTCTCGCACGGGCTGGGAATATTCCAGCTCCTCCTGCTTCCAGAGGAGCCCGCTCCAAGGGGGAGGATGTCCCAGAGAAGCACCGGTACGGTGCCGCCGTACTCACCCCTTCGCCCAGTTCACGGGGTTTTGGGGTGATTCATGAACCCGCCGAGGTACCCCGGCCAGTTGGTGCGGGAATACACTTTAATTACAGAAATTCAAGGAATGGAGCTGCCAGTGAGGGGCGAATCACCATCACGGCACAGGGGTAGGAAACCACTACGGGTCATCCTGGGCAGAGGACGGATGCGGCTCATCCTAATTTCTCCCCAAATCCGGAGAAATTCCAGCTCCAGCACCGGGTCTACGCAGTGCTCAGCTCCTGCCATCGAGCCCCAGGATCCAGCTCACGGCACCAAGGTTTTTTGCCTCTTTTCTGCTTCCCTTCGACTCTCGCTGCTCTGCTGGCGCGGCTGGGGCAGGAGAAGGCACGAAGGAAAGAAGAAAAGCCAAATAAAAGGCAAGAGCTTCTTGTCGGCCCCGGATAGGACTTGGAGGGGGGTTGTTTTGGAGTTGTGGTGACTGGCTCCTCCTGTCAGCTCCTTCAACTCAGGGGGGACGAAAAAAAAAAAGCCAGACGAGGCATTTAACACTTCTTCCTTGTGTAGCATCTTTTCCACCGTGGCAGCAAGGAGTTTCACTGCAGAAGGCTCTCAGCGTTAACGCTTCTCTACACCGAGGGAAACTGAGGCACAGGGAGCCTGGGAAGGAGGGTCCCGGCTGTGGGATCTGCCAAAATCCCGCCTGGCTCCTTCGGGGTGCGGGGACCAGCCTTGCGCCATGGGGATCCTCACTCTGCATCATCGCCCAAGCACCAGCTCCGGTTTGGCCGTGATGGAGGGGAAGAGCCTGACCC